ATTTCCATTTTATTTACTATGGTATTTCCTCGGATTTGTGCGACTTTTAATGGATGACAGAACAACGGAATAAACTGGACATAAGAATCACACTTCGGGTGTCATTGTCTCCTATTACCCCCAGATGGAACCGTCTCGTTGCAAAGAAACAAGTTCAGGGTTCTCATTGATTTAGCGTTCTAATGAATTAAAACTTTAAATCACATAATATACAGTTACACCAAAAATGAATATAACTTTGAAGGCATTTTTAAATACAATTTAATTTAATTTAATAATTTTAATTTATCTAAAATATAAACAATCAACGTCCCCCCTCAGTGGGTCGCGGTAAAATTATCAAACGTTGTCGGTCCGCGGTGATCAAAAGGTTGGGGACTGGATTAGACTTTAATCTACTCTCAGAATTCAGAGAAGCTCATAAATATAATCGACCGATTTCCGAATAATCATCTGTTTTTCATGTCGGAATAGACGAAAACTTATGTTATAATCCCTAGGGCTTTGAAATTGCAATTTGGAACGCAACAGAAAGCTTTGCTTTTTCTATTCGGAACATTCCAATTTTCAACACGAGTGTTGAGTGTTGAAGTCAACAATTTGACGTCATCAACGACGTGCCAACTCGAGTACGAAGTGCTTAGTTCACATAATTCCATTCTCAGCAAGATAGATTCCATTCAAATGTCTTACCAATTACCCACAATTCATTGGAAAGTAGCAGTCAACATATCTGTTGAGTGCTGAGTGTGTTGAGTCAGCGCTGACTCAACACACTCAGCACTCAACAGATATGACAACAGCGCTACCTCAACGTTGAAAAAAGGAACGAATTTTAACGAAGTTGAGATCAGCGCTGAGTCAGCGTTGAAAATTGGAATGGCCCGAATTGCTATTCATCTTTACTGCTGATAATACACAAGAATGAATCAAACAACCCAGATAAAATAGTTTTGTTTTCAAACAGCAAAGGGCGAGCATCCGATGAAAAATGCGAATATGGAAACTGTGTTTCTGTAAGAAGCCGACATCCAGGGGCAATCAGTCAATTGTGCATCAGTGATGGTCTGAAAGATAATGATGATCATGTTTTTTCCCGCGAGTTTTAATAGAATTTGTTGTCAATAAACATCCAAGAACAGACAGTATGTCGTCATCAGATGCCATGGCCGACTGACTGACTGAGAGACAATGGCGTAGCGAACATAACTGGCGCCCGGGGCACGATACTATATTGGCGCCCCCTCCCCTCCAGAAATAAATCTTGTTTGTCTTGGAGACCATTTGGCGCCCCTCTGCGAGTGGCGAGTGGAGACCATTTGGCGCCCCTCTGCGAGTGGCGCCAAATGGTCTCCAAGACAAACAAGATTTATTTCTGGAGGGGAGAGGGCGCCAATATAGTATCGTGCCCCGGGCGCCAGTTATGTTCGCTACGCCATTGTCTCTCAGTCAGTCAGTCGGCCATGGCATCTGATGACGACATACTGTCTGTTCTTGGATGTTTATTGACAACAAATTCTATTAAAACTCGCGGGAAAAAACATGATCATAGAAGTCTATGGTGTAAATAGTAGTAGTAGTGATTGGGTAACACTGATCACAAAATTAATTTTTCATACGAATAATTTTTTAATGGAATTATTTCAGATCACAAAATTAATTTTGCAAGAAAAATCTTGGGCTATAGATTCTGTTAAAAAGCATCAATTATTAGCGAAAGATCAATGGCAAGTCGATTTTACTAGCAAAAAAATTCATGGATTAAATTTTATAGACGAATATATATTAATAATTCTCAACCACATCCGATATTAGTACAAATTGTAAACATTATTATCGCAAATTAATTTTATAATTTAATAATTAAAAAGAATTTATTAAACTTTGTCTTATTTTAAGTTGTCATGTTTTAATTTACTTGGATATTAAAACAATAAATTTTTTAAAATGTAGAAGAAAATGATAAAGAGTATCAAGATGTTTTATGAAAACGGAAGAAATGAATTGAGAAGTTTTCTAAATATTAAAATTATTTATAATTTTAATTTACTCAAGAAATTTTTGATCCGAAAATAATTTATAACCTGAAAAATTAATTTATTAGGTTATAAATAATAAAAGTTAATAAGGTTATAGAAAATAATTCTTCCAAACATTCACGAGACATTGTTCTAACTACTCAGCGGCCTCACAACTGAACGACACGACGGCACACACGTTAAGGTCGGCCTGCGCACACACTATCAGGAATTACTCAAGATCAGGCATGCATGGTTAATCCTTTGAGAATTAACTTAACGCGTATGACCGCTTTTAACAATCCAATTGCCCCCTATGATGCGTGGGCCCCGCGTTGGAAAACACTGGTCTAAACTCTCGGTCGAACCCATCTCGGGCACTTCTCCCACCCTCGAAATTAGGTGCAGGTGTTAATGAATTAGTCTATCAGACTAATTCATTAACACCTGCATTAACAAAGGAAATTCATTTGTTTGTTCGAAATTGTCTGAAAAACGAAAGAATTGCAAAGTGTTGTTGTTAGAAGATCGTGTTAAAGTTATCACAACAGCAATTAGCGGGAAAACGGAGTTGATTTTACCGCAGACCTACAGTATTTTCCTTGGGGGTATATAATATTGTACGCGATACAATTAATCGGCTGATCTCATCGTTTGATAAAATTTATTTTTATTTATTTATTTATTTTGAAGCTCACATACAGTACATGTGCGATAAATAGTTTCTGTATCAATCTACATTATTTCTACGATATTTTTAGAAAAATAATATACAAGTAATTTTCGCGCGAAAAATATTCAAAAAACAATAAACGCATTAACCTTTTTATACTCGCGACCCACCAAATATTTCATAATTTGTTTTGTGACCCCCATTTTTTAATAATAATTTATATTTATTAAATTATCTATAATAAATTGATTTTTTAAATTATTGCTTTATTTTTTTTTTATATAATAAATGTAAAACATAACTTTATTATTTTATTATCTATTTAAATAACATTCAAACTCCACAATTAAACATAAAAGCTCATTAATATTTAACAAAAAATAAATAAGAAACATTTAAAAATTCATAGAAAAAAGAAAAAATATTCGAAAATACGTACTTGCGAAAGGCAGCAAATTTTGCATTGCTGCTGAAAACAGGGGAGGATTTTCTGCACGAATTTGTAT